CATGACATATCAGCCAGATCAATGCAGACCATACAACAGTGTTCTTTCGACAACATAAATGTCACACCACTATACTTGTTATGTATGTTGATAACATCATTGTCACCGATGATTGTGAGGCAAAAATTGTCCGAATAAAGGTAAGATTAAGCAATGAATTTAAGGTAAAGGATCTTGAACAACTCATATACTTTCTTGGGATTAAAGTGGCTCGTGGACATGAGAAGATGGCCTTGTCCCAGAAAATGTATGTACTAGATCCCCTCACAGAAATAGGTATGTTGGGGTACAAACCCGCAATCTCTCTAATCAGAGAGAAGGTCAAGTTGAGTGCAGAGAGGAGAACCAGTTGATCGTGAGAGCTGTCTGAGATTGGAGGGTCATCAAATCTATTCGTATCACATTCGACCTGACATCTCTTTAGTAGTGAGCATGGTGAGCCGCTACATGCATGATCCAAGGAAGGGTCGTATAGACGCAATGTATCAAATTATGAGGTACCTGAAGAGTGCACCAAAGGGGTTGATCTTTAGAAAGAATAGGCATGTAGGCATTGAGGGCTTCTGTGACACAGACTTCATGAGTTGTGCAGATGACGGGAGATCCACCTCAGGATATTGAATGTTCGTAAGGGGCAAATTGGTCTTTTAGAAGAGCAAGAAACACTATGTAGTAGCGAGGTGAACAACAGAGACAAAGTAAAGGGTCATGGCCTTAGGAGTTACCGAAATGATGAGGCCGAGAGCCTTGTTGGTCGAGCTCAATGTGGACCAAGGAACTCGAATGAAGTTGTGGTGCAACAATAAGTCAGCAATCAGCATTGTCAACAACCCAGTGCAACACGATAGAACCATATATGTGAAGATTGATAGATTCTTCATCAAGTAAAAACTGAATAATGGGCTTCTGGGGCTAAGTCATGTAGCCACTGGAGAGCAAGAGACAGACTGCCTCACTAAAGGACTTAGTTCATTAGATTTGTCTAGGTTATGTCACAAGATGGGCTTAGTGGATACCTCTTTGCCCATCTTGAGGGGCAGTGTTGAGAATAGAACCTCATTTAGGGTCCTATTCGAATATTGAAGAAGTCCAAGGGTTTATTTGTAAAACATTATAACACCCTATTTAAGCCCGTGTTATGAATGTACAGATAAGATTTTAAACAATTCTTTCTTTTTGTTTAAAATTCCATTGGATATTTATACCCCTGTTTTCAGTACCTTCAAAAACCGGTAATAAAGATTCATCATAATTATAAAATTAGTCTTGTCAACTATTTGGGATCAGCATTATCAATCCATAATAGACATTTATTCATGTTTAAAGTTGTGCGAGAAGACGGTATTTCATTCATAACTCCTAACCATAGTAAATTTTGTCTAAATCCTTTTTCCTTGGTATTGTCAATTAAATTTAGTGCTGTAACTATAATCCATAAATAGAACCATTCCAGTTTTTTTCTAGACAACTTCAATTGGCAATTCAAACATCTTCATGTATTTACATTACCATGTGGCTTAACAATGAACTCTAGCACCTGTAATCTCTATTAAGAGAACTTATTTCACAATTCAATGCATTCCAAAATGTGAATTTAAGTTGTAAAATCTCAGTACTCCGTTAGCACTTTCTGATATTAACTTTTTACTAATTCTTTTCTCAACTAGATTGTTTTTGCTTATGAAAACGAGCTGCTTGTTTGAGCTCACTGAAATGCTTATTTCTTTAGTAGCTCATTCTATTAAACTCTGTTTTTTAAATCAATAAATTTATCATCGAAACAATAATTAAATTGATCTACGAACCACTTTTAAGGGGGCCATTTTAATCCCAGACTATATAAAAGATCTAATATTTTGTCCTTGGACTCTTAAGGTATGAATCAAAATAATCCCACCATTCACAGTAAAAAAAATTAAGTTAAAGTTAATCGATAGTATAAAAAATGAGTTATTTTAAGGATTTGCATCACCTTCAATTTTTTACAAAATCTATTCTCCTACTTGTCTTGTTTAGAATATAATCTCTCTGTAACCTTCCAAAAAATTTTTATTTCATTTCCGGTTGCTCTGTTATAAAATTAACGCATATTAAATTTATAGAATTTTGAAAATTTTGGGTATATATTATTGATAAGTTTTCTTTAAAGTATCTCAAGAATAAAAAAAAATCATTCATTAGATTTTATAAAAAATTAGAGCAATAAATTCCTAAAAGGCCATCTAGCAGCTGATTGGATTTACATGCTTTTAGCATCCTAATTTAAAATCACATTTTGCATACCGATTGCATAGAAAACAATTTCTTGGCATGTCCATCTAAGAGGGGTAGCATGCATCAAAGAAAGTAATTAAATATCAAAACACAACCAAATTCAGGAGCAAGCATTACATGGACTAGCTTTTTAAAACGTATCCATACGAACCACTTTTAAGGGGGCCATTTTAATCCCAGACTATATAAAAGATCTAATATTTTGTCCTTGGACTCTTAAGGTATGAATCAAAATAATCCCACCATTCACAGTAAAAAAAATTAAGTTAAAGTTAATCGATAGTATAAAAAATGAGTTATTTTAAGGATTTGCATCACCTTCAATTTTTTACAAAATCTATTCTCCTACTTGTCTTGTTTAGAATATAATCTCTCTGTAACCTTCCCAAAATTTTTTATTTCATTTCCGGTTGCTCTGTTATAAAATTAATGCATATTAAATTTATAGAATTTTAAAAATTTTGGGTATATATTATTGATAAGTTTTCTTTAAAGTATCTCAAGATTAAAAAAAAAAATCATTCATTAGATTTTATAAAAAATTAGAGCAATAAATTCCTAAAAGGCCATCTAGCAGCTGATTGGATTTACATGCTTTTAGCATCCTAATTTAAAATCACATTTTGCATACCGATTGCATAGAAAACAATTTCTTGGCATGTCCATCTAAGAGGGGTAGCATGCATCAAAGAAAGTAATTAAATATCAAAACACAACCAAATTCAGGAGCAAGCATTACATGGACTAGCTTTTTAAAAAGTATCCATAAAACCATCGCAACAATTTTAATTCCCTTTTTTTTCTTCATATAAAGTCCATCATTCAAAATTCTCTTCATATCTAACAATAAAAATTATCCTTCAACTTTCAATTATCATTGTCATTATATCATCAACATTATCCCAACAATTTTAGTTCACCTTAATAAACTCTCATTTCCAATTTGTTCATCTCAAATGTTGATTAATGGCTAATGAATAATGTATTTAACCGGGTTTTTTGCATACCAATTTGCAGAACTTCTGCCAATGTTATTTAGATCTACTTATTTCCTTTTGAATTATTTCAATATTAATTTTGTCCATTGTTCCTATTGGTGTGCTTCTAAGCTTCATCATGCATGTCTAAACTACTTAAATCCATCTTTCCTAATTTTGTAACAGATCCATTTTAGCATTCTCAAAAAATAGTATGCCCAATTTGCCTATTAGTACCTTCAACTAGCAGGTACTTCAATCTATATTAAATTTTATAAAGCATGTATTTTAAGCGTCAATGACATGCTCTTATCACATCGTGCACTTGAGGAAACAACTCAACTGCAACTCTAAAAATTATACCGTCATAAGATCCAAAGTACTCAAACTTATCACACATAACCATTAATTAATCTTTTGTTAATAACGGTTGATAATTATTAAAATCACACCCACTCAAATTACTTCATATATATATATATATATATAGCTCTCTTACATGCTCATATGATTTGATCTTCTTTTGTATGTAATTATTTAAATGCTTGATGATAACATAAAAAATATCCCTCCCTTTCATATATATATATATATATATTTGATTCTACAAATCCAAAGTCAATTGTCTTCTGAAAAGTTATTCATTGTTCTAGATTTCTGCTAATTTAAACAAATGCCTCGACAATTAGAACAGTTTTATTGGCAAAAGCATGCAATTGAGGCATCTTATTAAATTCATAATGAATAACAATGAACTAATTCACACATTCATAGAAAAACAAACACCAAAAACCTTCCTTCTAATTCCATATATTACAAGAGTACCAGCATACTAATAGAAATATTATGCATGGGAATATATTAAACACATTCAAGTACTTGGATTAAGGAATTCACAAGGACTAAGATTCTGGCAAGCACACTCCAAAGAACAACTACACCATAAAACTTGAATTCGTTTGGAAGAAACAATGAAAAAGAAGCTCTTCGCAAGTGCTTCGTTTCATAAGTTGCATATGTAAAATTTGCTGATATGGCAATATTTAGTGAAAAAGTAAACCTTCGCTCTCCAAATAATCAACACAAAAAATGGGAATGGGCTCCACTTCACTTGGTTGACCAATCAACACCCTTCAGGCAAAAGTTCATGTAATCCTCTCCCAATTTTGATTGGTCCACCTAAGCAGAACGAACTCAATCCCATTTTTTATGTAGATTTTCTGGGGAGTGAGACAGTATTCTTGGTGATAGAAGAATAGTTCCTTTGACATGCATAAGAACAAAAAACAACAACTTTTATATTAGGCGTTATGTTTGCTTATAATTATGCATATGAATTTAACATATTTTTTAAGAGCATTTACGCTAAAATCCAGTAATTCCAGACAAACTTTAGCAAGCTGGATTCAGATTCTACTTCCAAAGCCTTGAAGAAAAACAAAGCAATGAGAATAATAGCTTTAAAATACAAATCTAGCCATGAATAACTTCAAAAAGCTCCAAAAGCTCTTAGGAAGGCACTGCACAGATGAGAGGTGGCTAAACTATGACAGTTTTTTACATGCATCGCCATTACAGTATAAAATTCCTTTACATTTGTTTTCCATATTTCTGTAAAAACAAAGCTGATCTTCAAGCAATTTAATTTCATAGATTAAATGATGCAAGTGCTGACGGGTGAGTTACAAATGAAAACAGGGACTAAAAAATAATATTGAAAAGAAAATAATCAGCAAAAAAGGCACTCACACAGTACCCTCCTCTCTTCCAAGTAGCTTAATGGGTGTCCCAGCCTTCTTGGTGCGCAAGCACTTGGCCAGTTCATCAACGCACAGTATTCTACCAGGCCACCATGAACCATTTCTCCGGCGGACCCATACGAGGCCTCCAGCTGAAGCATTCATCCCCTTTAAATCATCTTCTTGGAAACTCTCCATTTCAAAAAAGAAAACCTCAAAAATTAGCTTCCATAACTAACAGATATCACTGCGCTCGAGTTCCATCAAAGAACAAGTTCCACATTACCATAAAATATCAGATCACCCAGTCTAAAGAACCAAGAGCCAAGAGCTTACAATAAACATTAAAATATATAGCTTCAGATGGGCATTATCTGCCACAAACACTTCAAAAGAGGAAGAAACAGAGTATCTAACCCCAATGCGCGAGACTTCTCTTCGCGAATACAACGCAACTTCACTCTTGCTGAAAAATAGAAAAGTGGAAACAGTTTTCTGCCGTAAAAACGAAGAACAGTTGGAAACGGAGGAAAACGGACTGTAAATATGTTTCAAAAGAGACGAAAAGTAGGCCTAGGGCCTGAGGATCTAGAGAGGCATAGGAGCGAAAACCGAAAACCATAGCCATAAAGAATGGATGAAAAGACTCCGGATCCGAAGAAAAACTCCATATCGTCCTCTTGACGGATCTTAAGAGAAGCATAAACGGGATTTCTTCGATTACTATTTCAGCTTTACCAAGTCTCTCTCATTTCTCTTCCTCAATTCCTCACTTCATGAAGAATATCTGAGTGATAGAAGCAAGCTTCACCTCCGATACTGAGCGAGACCAGTCGCGGTGTCGCTCGAGCAGGCGAGCCAGGAGGAGAGAGGTGTGCTTGGTGGTTGCACTAGTCTGAGCTGACTGCACGGATTTTTAGTGTTTTTAGAAGAATGAAGTTGGGATTCAGGAATCTCGATGCGGCGGGTTAGAGCGCTCATTCCTCCCCAAAAAAGGTTCTCTGGATCTAGCACGGGCCATGACGCCATGGCTACTGGCCCGTGGTGTAGCAATCGGCTCCAGTAGCCCTGTGCGTGAACCAGATTATCTCATTAAAGTCCCGTAGAGGAAGGAGAGAGAGAGTGACTAACTGATAGAATGGGAAAAATATTACATCAGCCGAGGACTTTCGGAGTCCAACGGCGGTGATCAGCTTAGTAACATGTGTTATTCATGTATTATTATGTATTATTCAAAGGTTATTGTATGTTATTCATGTGTTATTGTGTCATGAGAATATTCTCGATATTATAATAACACAATAACACATCAATAATATTTGAATAACACATAATAACACCTGAATAATACACAATAACACCTGAATAACATGAGGGGAATATTCCCTTATGTTACCGGGTCGATCACCTCAACGGCGTACGTAGCTCTACGTGCAGAGTCCTGATATAATATTTTTTCGAGGAGTGTTATGATAAGTGCAAAACCTGCTCAGAATTTATAATTAATAGTGATATGTTGAAAAAAAAAATCATAAGGAGCACGAATCTCAAAGTATTTTAAATAAGAGAAAAAATTAAAGATCATCCAAACTTTTAATTTAGTAAGATAATTCGAACTCAGTGATATCAACATGATGAAGTTCAAGCTGAATGGGCCAAATCAAACATTATAAATGTGTTTATAAATTTTGATATTAATTAAATAATTTTTAAATATTATAAACTTGCAATCAAATTTTACATCTCAAAATGAAAATTTCAAAAAGCTCTTGCTTATTCAATTTCCATACTGTTAAGGTACTTAAATGATAAAATAGTATTATGTGAATACTATATTATAAAAAAAATCTTATGATTGTTTTTTTTTTTAATTTGTTGAATTTGATATTGTTAGTTAATCACTAAAAAAAATCATATTGCGTGAATGAGGAGAGAGGGATGCACAATAGAAAATAGTATTGTTTCTTCATTAAATATTTCCACTATTTATAGATGATATAAAGTAGAATGTCGACATTATATATCTACCCCATTTGGAGAGGGTGTGTGCTAGAATATTTCTGGCATTTAGCAAATAACGGCTTATTGTTCGGTTGTCTTCTAGCTCAATTGGTTAAGCTTAGTTGATTTGGTTCGATTGAGTCAACTCCAACAATAGACTTCGATCAGTTAATCAGCCTAGTTGATTATCCTCAATCTCTTGTAAGGTGTCTTTGGGTCTTCATTGGATGTTCGGGAATACTTTGTGGAAGTAGCTCTTCCATTAGGTCGGCTCTACCTCCAGATAGGTTACCGCATCAAGCCGGCTTATTGAAAGTTGACGGTTCAGACGATCTCATGTATTGTTTATGATCGAATGGCTTTTACTTAGATCTCAGTCATTTTCTTGTTCTCTTTTTTTATTTGATCGGCTTTGGCCTAGTTGGCTTGCCTCATCCGGCTTGGTAAGCCTCAAGATCTCTTTTTTTTAGGGAATATGCGTCTATCATATTCTTCTCTTATAGGATGTTAGAGCTTTCTAAAACTAATGCAGACACATTTTTTATGTACACATTTAGTTTTTCAGTTCTCTTCATGAAAGTGACGTTGAGAAGAAAAACAAAAATAAAAATAAAAAGTATATCTCATTCAAGGTTAATTAATGACTTAATGATTGAACTTCCTTGATTTTGAAGCTCTTGATTCTTATAAATATGGCGATGGGACTCCTCATGCCTAATTTGCTTTATGTTTTTTTTTTTGGTTCGATTTGGTCGGCTCTCGTGTCTTAGGCGTTGTGATGGACAAACTAACAAAATCTTAGACTAACGTCCTTATTTAAAGCCTGATTTGCTCTATTTTTGGAAAGTCGAAAGGATGACCCCGTCTGAGAGTGAGAAGAGGAAGAAAATTGTCATGAATAAAAGTGAATTGTGCTCTCTATTAGATTAGCTAGGGTATACGGAATCGATCCTCGACACAGCACAGAAGAAAGTTCAACCGATTGGCTTGATCTGACCACACAAACTCTTGTTGTGGCTAAAATCCAATGAGTGATCATGCTACTTAAGTGGCTTATGGTGTACTCCCATCGCTTTCACTAATGCTCTCCGGAGAGCTTGTCGCGACGCATACATAGCCTAAGTTGATTCGATTCCTGGGTATGAGGGAATTTTATCTTGTGTTTGTTTGGTCTGATATATTAGATTCTAATTTGAAGTCTTTTTGTTACAATAAGTTTTGGTGCTGATGATCCGCTATGTTAAACAAGAAGAGCAACTAAGCCATCAAGGAATGCAAACAAGGCATTGGGTGAGGGTGGTCGGCTCTCAAGCGAAGATGGTGGAGTCGTTCCCCTAGACAATCCTACACTTTTCCCAAAAACGGGCAAGGAATTTATCGAAGGGGTAAGAATGTCTCATGGGTCATGGGCTCGTCATATAGACAGAAGTTTTTTTGGTTGGACAATAAGGAGTCCAACAGATTGAGAAGACATGCGAGTTGTTGGCTAGTATGGAAAAGGTGGAGGAGATGGTGACGACCCTTCATTGAGAGCTATCAAATGTTACGGAAAGATCTCGAGTTTTCCAGGTGCAAGCTGAGTGAGATTGGTTAAATCAATTTAGGTTTGAAGGGGAATTTTATATAGGAAGGTGTCATAGTCGAAGCGGTGATAGATCCTCTTATTAGTTATTTTAATTTCTCCAACATAACTCTGAATGTTTTGTTAAAATCTAAATGTAATTTTTTGAATAAAATAATTGATTTGCTTTTTTTCTTATGTTATTTTGATTTTGCTGGTAGCCCCTTATGTAATTGACTGACTAATGCCAATTTTACTCATATGTGACCTTAAGATTTCCTTTGGCCTCCCTATATGTATAGAAGGTTAAGTAATGAGGGTTCGCCTCTTTTGCATTTTCCTATCCCTCCCTTTCTTGACCTTTTGCACTTCATTTCTAGTAGTAGTTTGATAGTATCTTGATATTACCAAAAAGATTTCTGATGGACGACTTCAAAGGCTCATTCGCGAATGACCCAATTGAAGGCTGGCTCGCTATAAGAGGCAGATCAAGTGACTTCTTTGAGCACACCTTTTGTTCTATATGGACTAGTTATGGTTTTTCCTTCGCTTATCACTTTGTACCGAGTTACGCTATGTTCTCTTTAATTATGGGATCATCCCAGAGCAAGCAAAACCTAATTTTATTATGGCCATCATGATTTTCATAATATTTTGTAAACGACGGGGGATGTTGTAGTCTATTAACCTATTTATTATTTTTTCTCGTTCCAAGTTGGACTAGATTGATTTGTCCAGCTTACTTTAGTCTACAAATTCCAACTGTTGGGGTTGGAAAAGAAAGTGAATTATTGGAAGCAATAAATTTGCTTGGATTCCTCCCCAGATAGGTGGTTTATTCAGATGGTCCCATCTAGGGACACCCCTCCAAAGGTGACCAAAGGGTCGACAAAGGTACTATTAGATGCGAGCAAGATCGAGGGAACCGAGTTATCGAACTATTAGTATCTGGAGTTGGCACTTTTCAATGGAGTGATTTTTCTGTCCAGACTACGGATGTAGAACAACGTCTGGAGTCCAATGAGATGATGTCATATGTATGCGTGAGTCCCATGCAGAAAACTATAAAAAAAATTTAAAAAAAAAGTAAAGACGTTTTAAAAAAAATGTAAATACATTTTTCAGTTTGACCTGACGATTTGATTGTCTCGCCTTTTTAAATATCCCGCTTTAAAGAAAAAATTTTAGGCTTCCATGATTCCAGTGTCAGAAGTTTCTACCCCGGTTCCTTGCTCCCCTAGGGTTTTATCGTAGCTCTGCTAGGGTTCGCCGATTGAGTTTGTTGTGCTTTTGCGGAGAGATGAGAAGGTCGAAGTGACAAAATGGAATTGGATGATCCCCATAATATGCAGTTGGAAGAGGTGAAGGCCAGAGTTGGAGGAGGCTGAGGAAACGGAGCATGAACAGTTGAAGAAGAAGGAGCCAAAGAAGGAGGGCGTTGAAGCGGAAACCTTGTCTTGGTAAATTTTATTAAGTTATTCTTATGTTATTATATAAGTTTACGCTCAACTTTTTTCTGAGGTTACCCGAAAATACCTCGGAAATAACCCACGCGTAGAACATGGATATAGGCCAGAAATAAGTCACGTGCAGATCGTTCGAATAATGTAGATATAACCCGAAAATACCTCGAAAATAACCTACGCGCGGAAACTGAATATAAACCAGAAATAAGTCACGCGCATATCGTTTAAATAACTTAGATATAACCAAGAAATATCTCAAAAATAACCCACACAAGGAACAAGGATATAAGGCAGAAATAAGTCATGCACGATCATTCAAATAACAAAGATATAACCTAGAAATACTTTGAAAATAATTCATGCCCGGAACATGGATATAAGCCATAATTAAGTCACGCACAGATCGTTCAAATAACTTAGAAATAACCCGAAAATATCTAAAAAATAACTCACGCATGAAACATGGATATAAATCAGAAACAAGTCACGCGCATAGAAATAATCCAAAAATACCTCAAAAATAACCAACGCGCGGAACATAGATATAAGCCAGGAATAAATCACACATAGATCTTTAAAATAATACAAATATAAGCCGTAAATACCTCAAAAATAACCCATGCATTGAACATAGAGATAAGTCAGAAATAAGACACAAGTAGATCGTTCAAAAAACATAGATATAACCTGGAAATACCTCGAAAATAACCCACACGCGGAACATGGATATAAACAAAAAATAAGTCACGCGCATATCATTCAAATAATGTAAATATAACCTAGAAATACCTCAAAAATAACCCACACGTTAAACATAGAGATCGTTAAATAACATAGATATAACCTGAAACTACCTCAAAAATGACCCAAGGGATATTCAGCTTAACAACTTGGGTAGAATGATGATAATAAATCATACATAACCCAAAAATAATCTGGAAATAACCCACGTGTGGCTCTATAGAATACCTTGCAGGGAACACTAAAATTAACCTGTAGATAATCTAAAAAAACTCACAAGTATCTCGCAGTTCAGCTGAATAAATTGCGAAGAGGAAAGAATATAATCTAC